ATATATATATATATATATATTTCATGACTTTTTGGACACACCTTGTATATCAGACACTGTACATCATTGAGCAGGAACAGAGAGTGAATCATAGAAAAGTTCCAGGAATATCACCTGAGTGCTTTTATTGCAGTCTTCTCATTATGACTTATGACATTATGTAGCCAGGTAGGTGGTTATCAGAATTTCAGAGTGGCCTGCTGCTTCCATCCTTTACCATTAAAATGAAACATGAATAGCCACCTAACAGAATATATGGTATCATAATCAAGAAGACCACAGTCTGCAAATTTATTTCTTTGCTGCAGGCTGAATACTTGGATCTTAAGGAATGGTTTTCTACTGTTAGTGCTTCTGTATCTCCAAGCAACACCTTCCTTCAGGCTGTCGTCAAAACAGAACATCCAACTGTAAGTATAAGTGTTAATCCAACCACTATTATACATGTTTCTTGTGAGATACATGCAGTACTCACCAAAATCTTCTGTTAACCCATTCTCATCCCTTTCTGAAATTGGTTGTTTACTGGTGCCCTGCCCTGCACTCTTTTCTTCTGTTATCCATTTCGCTTCCTTTTCTGAAATTGGTTGTTTTTCGGTGCCCTGCCAAGATTACCATATCTGACCAAGGATGGACATTAACTCAAACAAAAAAAAATTCTGTGGGATGTAGTCTGCAAGCGAACTATACTGAGCAAGCAACCACCACTTGCCAGCAAAGTGAGTGCAGACTTTTGCAGATAGAGGCTGTAAGGTCAGTGCAATGAATCCCCATGGCCATAAATCGCGGTTTTCTAGACTGGAGCCGCTATTTCCTTGAAATAGCTCCTCAGTTATCCTCATGAGGCTAAGTGGACCCTGTTCCAGACACACTACTTCTCAGAAAATCTGGTAGCGCCGGGAATCGAACCCAGGACCTCTGGATCTGTAGGCAGGAACTCTGGCCACTAGACCACGAGGCACTCCAGACATTAACTCAACATGAAGAAACAAAATACAGTAACCCTTGTTATAAGAGACATAAGGGAAAAAGGATGTCCATTATCACTGATGTCAACTAGAACCAAGTGAAGGGATATTCATGGAAGTACACCATAGAATACATAACAAATATATGCTATAAACATAGAGCACACAGTGTGGTTACATAAAGGTTTTTATATTTGGGGGGCTTTTTTATTTTAAATTAATTTCTAACTACAAAACCCTTAGCGCCTCAGCATCTCTAAAAATTGGCAGTCGTATGCAGCCAAATTTTGTCTGTATCTGGGTCAATTATAACGAAGGTTTGCTGTGTTTCACTTACATAATGCACTCTGAGTGAATAGTTTTCTGCTCTACTGTTGGTTGGTGTATATAGCTACTTTTGTGTCTACCTGGATGCATATAGATCATTTAGTTCTCATTTTTCTGTTATGAGATACCATAGGCTGCAGGCGTACTGTAAGGAATGCCCGAGCTGGCATATAAGCCACTGGCAGAAAAATTTCTGGGAGTGAAAAGCTGATGGAAAGTATTTAGCAAATATTCACCTGACTGCCAGAATTAAACTAGCATTGCAATATTTCATCTCTATGCATATAAATGTTTTATTTTTAAATTTGTGATAGGTCATTACTGGAAGCATAGTCCATAAGGTAAAAGTGTCATGAACAATGCAGCGTTCAGTTCCGGGTCAAAGGAAATGGGTGTTAACCTTGAAATGAATTTCTTCTAGTTATCTAACTCAAGCTTTACACTTAAAAATGCAGAATTCAACAGTAAACAGCTCACAATAGTCATGTGAACCTTCTACCTCAAAAGTGAAAAAACTGAACAATCTGTAAGAACTCTATGTTTCACATCAGTATCTTTAAAAAGAATTGACAGGGCAGGGCCCAAGTACATAGCATGTCCACAAAGTAAGTTTCCCACTCATTCCACAGCTAGCAAACCTTATATTGCGCGAAGCGACTGCATAGTACTTGATAGAGCAATGACGTAGCATGGTGCATGCACAAACGGAATTTCCCGCGTTCTCACAGTAGCATCGTTGCAGCTGTTGAAGATAGAGGCTCTTATTCCAACTCCCACCGACTGTGAAGTGCGGTCAGTGATAAAGTTTTTGAATGCACAGAGCATAGCGCCGATCGAAATTCATAGTCAGCTGTGCCGGGTCTATGGGTCTAACATCATGGGCAAGCAGATGGTGCGTCGCTTGTGCAGACAATTTTCAGCAGGTCAACAAAGTGTGCATGATGAGAAGCGCAGTGGGTGGCCGTCCATCATTACAGACAACCTGGTGGAGCTTGTGCGGGAATGCATTATGGAGAATCGTCGCGTCACAATTGCGGAACTCAGCAGTCATGTCCCACAGATTTCCCACACCTTGTTGCACGAAATTGTCACGGACCACCTGTTGTTCAGGAAATTGTGCGCCAGGTGGGTGCCGAAGCAACTGACACCAGAACACAAAACAAAGTGCATGGAGTCAGCATTGACCTTTCTGCACCGGTACCATGATGACGACGACGAGTTTCTGGACCGGATCATCACAGGTGATGAAACGTGGATTGCACACATTACCCCAGAAACCAAGCAGCAGTCAATGCATTGGCGCCACAGTGGATCTCCCTGTAAGACGAAATTCAAGCAGATGTTGTCGGCGTGGAAAGTGATGTGCACAGTATTCTGGGACAGATGGGACGTTCTCCACGTCGACTTCCTGACCAGATGTGAGACACTGCAGAAATTGCGACGGACCATTCAGAACAAGTGGCGCGGGATGCTTAGTGCTGGTATTGTCTTCCTGCACGATAACGCTAGGCCGCACACGGCTCGACAGACAGCAAGTCTCCTGCAGGAGTTCAGCTGGGAGGTGTTTAATCATCCACCCTACAGCCCAGACCTCGCTCCCAGTGATTTCCATCTTTTCCTACACCTCAAGAAATTCCTGTCCGGTGAGCGTCAGCGTTTTGAGAATGACAGAGAGGCGGAGATGGTTGTCACACAGTGGTTCCAATCCCAGGCGGCAGACTTCTATGACACAGGTATTCAAAAGACATATGTCTCAATTCCGGTGGCGATTATGTTGAAAAATAGCTGAACACTTGTTGTATCTGTTGCAATAAATATTTCCATGAAATTGTGTTTTGTTTCTGTAAACGGCCCCAGGGAAACTTACTTTGTGGACGAGCCTCATACGCAAAACTTGACCAGGCACCACCTTGGACCATGCTGACTGGACTTAAATCCCGGGCATTCCATGGTCTAATTCTGTAAGGACCAATTGTTCAGTCTTTGCACACTCACTGTATTGTCATTTGTTAATGACTAGACATGGGGTTTGGTTTACTCTTGGGATTTGTTTAACACTTGTAAATCATAACTACAAATGATTATAACGGTCTCACTAATTTACACACTGTAAAAATCACTACACTTACAGCACACTGAAGTCTTCTGTTTGTTCACAAGTCATTGCTGGGTAGCGGCTGCTAACAAATGTAACCCAAGACTGACTCGCTTGTCAGAGTCAGAATTACTTTACGACTGGCAATTTACCACCAACTAGTAGGTCTTGGCCCCTTGAGGCTCATGACCAGAGTTTTTTTGGGGGCGCAGGGGCAACTGAACTCTTGCAGTCATAGTCCTTGTGTAACCTCTCAGATGAGAGGATGGTGACTCGCTTGCTGCTGCTGGCCCTTATTATATAGCCTTGGCAGGGATCGAATAGAAAACACCATGTACGACAGTTCCCCTTTTGTTAGATGTGGATTTGTTGCTGCAGAAACTTGTTTGCCGGACCGTTGCCTAGCAACGGACACATCTTTTTCCACTATTCTGGCTTTCGGCTGTCATGTCACAATGTACTTAGTATTAGGCTGAAGAAACTGCGCAGGCGAAATAAGTTGCTCTCTAGGGGCCACATTTTACAAATACTCTCCCACCCTCTTCCTCACCACTCTTATTCTAATTCACAGGGTGATGTGAGACAGTATACTTGGTACTCTGGCCACTATTTGGCCTATTGCAGGAGCTCCATATGATGATGAGAGATGAGTGCCGAATGCTTGGCGGCATGAGAATTGGCAGGGGAAACCAAAAGTACACGGAGGAAACTGCCACAGTACCACTTTGTCCACCACAAACACCACATGACCTGACTGGGATTGAGCCTGGTCTGTTGGGTTGTGGTAGGGATCTGGCAACTAACCACCTGAACTATAGCATTGCCTGCTTTCGTTTGGGTCGCTTGAAAATTAGTTGCCACCCACATATTTTTCACGTCTTGCACGTGAATTGACTGTTAAGCAAAACTGCGAATGGTGCTGTCATTAAGCAGCCACAACATATCATTTGACAGCATGTACAGCTGTAGAAGTATGAAAATATGTGTAACAGACAGTGAGACAAATGAGATGGTGGATGATGCAAATCAGATATAGTCCTAGTATTAATATTGTGTATCTCAGAATTTGCTTTAAAATGATACAGTCGAAGTGAATATATGTGTACAAGCAGAAGTTTTAGTGGTAATGTTTCCAGTTCTCTAAAATATCCTCTACATGAAAATCTCTGATCCCTACTATAATGCTAATAATTCTTTCATGTAGTCTTAAAAATTACATTGCTATAACAAGAATTTCCACAAAATATTAGTCCATGAAAATTGGAATAATATACCATCTTCAGAGATTCTTGGGACAAGGATGGCTCAGTTATTTTAATTGTAAAGCAAGCTGAACTTAGTTTTGGTACAATTGTATCTATATGAGTCTTCCAAGAAAATGGGTTGTCCATGTTAGTCCAAGGAATTTTGTATTACAAATATTAACTATTTTCTTGTTCCAATGCATTATATTTAAATCTATTAAAGAACTAGTATTAGTTATAAATTGCATAAATTGTGTCTTATCGACATTTAGTGACAATAAATTAGCAGTGAACCATCTATTTATATCTTGAAAAAACTTTATTAACACTTCTTTTGAAATTTATAGGTTTAAGGCTAATAATGATTACACTAATTTTCATTTCATGCATCCTGTTGTGTTACAATATACAACCTCTTTATTAACCGTCACAACACAACAAATATCAAGGTCAGTGCCCCCGCTACGACTCTGCTACATGTTTTGGCTATCAGTAGCCATCATCAGGCAAACACATGGCTAACAACATATACACCATCGAACTGCAGTATTATCAAACTGGATACAATACTATTAATCATATAAAACACTTGACATAAAAAATACAATAATCATATTGTATAAAACAGAAGTTATATTGTAAAACAAGAATAAAATTTTAATTGATTTTGTAATTTCATACGTTCCCATGGACAAATTGGAATATTCTATGTTTTTTCTTTTTGTATATAAGATTGTATAGGAGGCTTGTGATGCAGATGTTAATATTAATATCCAGTTTGAATTTTGGCTCAGAAGCAGTTGTCCTGACTGAAGCTTGTCATTGTTTTCCTTATGTCTGTAAATAATATTGATGCTAATGATGATGCACCCTTAGAGATGTTTGAGACAGAATTTTAGGGATTGTAAGGTGAGACAAGTTTCTATCAGTTTCCTTTTGAAGTTCTGGCTTCCCTTACGCATAAGCAGTAGGTAATTCATCACTTATAACCACATGTCATTAATTTAAGACATGACTTGTGTTAAATAAGATGTCTTTGTTCATTGCATTTGACTTGTAAGTTATTTATTTGCTATGCTTAAATTAATGTAATATTAATCATAAAAGAACTGGAAAATTTTTGATTTGATTTGTTTGTCACTGTACTGCAGGTGAATCAAGATGTTGAATTAGAAGTAAACTCGACAGAGCCCATGAAATATTTCACCTATCAAGTGATTGGCCGTGGGGATGTGATTATGGCCAATACTATAAAACTAGCTGATAAGAAGACACATAACTTCAGGTTTCTGGCCACATATGTCATGGCCCCAGTGGCTCATGTTATGGTCTACTATGTGAAAGAAGATGGTGAAGTCGTTGCAAATGCACTTGATATTGAATTAGAAGGGGCACTACAGAATTTTGTAAGTTTTGTACAGTTTCTTTTGGTAATGGGACATGTAAGGAGAAGATACAAGTTATTGTGACATTGATTTTCTTCTCTGCAATGAACTCTCATTTGAATGAGTAGGAAGAATGGAGAAGATTGATTATGTAATTAATATTATTATCACTCTGGACATGGTACATCATCTGCAGTTCTTCCCAAACACGACACTTTAGTCACTGAATTTGTTTTCATCATCAGGAGCAAGGATGAAATGTTCCTACTCACTTTGACCCATTAGAAAGAGCTGGTGTCCATCACTTGGCACTGAAAGAAGTTCAAAGCAGAGTAATCTGTTAAAGTAAAATGTCACTAGCAGCATGTAAAAGAAAAATTGCCAACAGAAACCAAAAATGAAGTCTCTTATAGGTAGTTTTAAAATTTGTCAGTTATCATAAAAAGCCTAAAAAAAAAAGATTACAGAAAATTTTCTATTAATGTCAGATGTCATCAATCAGGTAAAAATATCAATGACTGTCATAACAGAAACAACATGAAGTGGAACATTGATAGAGAATAATTCTTTCTTATAGGGCAAACTGAGTAGGAACATTTGTTCCATAACATCTGATGACAGAAACAGACCTAGTTTGTGAAACAGTGTGGTTAAAGAAACTAGATGATTGATTGCCTAATATCATAAACAAATTAATTGTTACTCATCACTGTTAGAAACCTTTGAATTGGGATAGTTACATAAGTTTTATAATGTGTCTTCAGCAATTCTGATAATGCTTTTCTTCTATGCAATGAACTATGTCAGCTGGATGAGTAGAAAAATGAAGATGATGAGTTAGTAGCATTTATAGTCCTGTTCTGTTACGCATATCCATTGTTAGGAACAACTGTAGACAGGGGAGTGAGGTAACTAGAGGCAGAAGTATAGACAAGGTTAGGATTTGTGTGCACTTAAATATGATTCCCTAATGGTAGAGTGAAGTCAACAGAAATGAATTTATTTAAATGTATGATATTTCATCCCCAAATTCAATTTTAATTCATATTTTATAGTTAACAATTTTGGAAGAACTTATTTCTGACATTAGACTGACTCTTAAGTTTCTAAATGCCAGCAGGAATTTCACTTTGAGATCCATTGATTTGAATCTGTATCATACCTGCGAAACCAATTTCAGATTAATTGTTAGAATTTTAAATATGTGAGACATGGTCAAACAGTGGACAGACCAGAATGATTTTCTGAAATTCAGCAGAGTTAGAGAAGTGTACCTCAAAGGGGTTTTAAGCTTGTACTTCAGTACAGTGATGCTATTTGAAAAATTTTGTAAGAGATTTTCAGAGTGGTGAATATTTANACTTTTGGGGGGTGGGGGGGGGGGCATAGCACTGTACTTCATTAGCAGCGTTTTGGAGGAACATATTGCTTCCATCTTCAGAGTCAAAATTCTGTTCATCACTTAATATCATCCATAATATTATGCAGCTTTCTTTTCCCAGGTGAACATTACTACAAATTCTGAGGAAACTCAGCCAGGGACAGATGTTGAACTCACGGTTGAAGCAAAGCCCAACTCCTATGTTGGTATCCTGGGGGTAGATCAAAGTGTGTTGCTACTGAAGTCAGGAAGTGATATCACAAAGGTAAATGATGAAAATGCTGTCTGTTCAGTCTGAACCACATAAGGTACATTGGGATGTGCATAATTTTTCAGTCTGAAACCAGTATTTCCTATTTGGATTTTTATAACAGCTTATTGCCATGAATACTGTCTTGTGGGATATCACGTTATGTAGTCGTTGAAAGTCAACCGATATTTCAGAGGAATATATCGCCTCCATCTTCAGGCTCAAAGAATAACTTGAGTGAGGTACCAGTGCGAAAGCAGTTGGCAAACAGACCCTGTTCTCTCCAGCTGCTTTCATGCTGGTATCTTGCTTGCCTTATTCTTTGAACCTGTAGATGGAGGCGATATGTTCCTCTGAAATGTCTGTTGACTTTCAACAGACTCCACTGTGTTAGTACTTGTGGAAGATACAAACATGCTTAACAATGTTGTGATCTTGTAAGTTTCAGTCACAGAATATAATAACTGTCAGTGTCTAACAGGTGACATTAGCTGTCAAAGGACTGAATTGTTTCAATGTAAAGGGGAGGGAGAGAGGAAAGGGGAGAAGAATGACAATAGGATGGTCAGGTAAGCAGGATAGGAAAGGAATACAGGAAAAAGGAGGGAAAATATGAAAGGGGCAGAGATGAGGGCTGGATATATGAAAGAAAATTATTTTTTCCAAAGATAAACTTGTCACAGCAAGATGGTGGCATAATCGAAGATAAGTAACAAGCATATACTACTCTGTCAAAAAAGTATCCAACCTTGGGCCAGGAAAAAAGTTCTGTATCTGGGTGGTTACAATACCTAATCGCCTTCAAAGTAGGACCCTTGTGACTCCACACACTTAGCGCAGCAGTCCTTCCATCGCTGGAAGCAATTCTGGAAGGCTTCTTTTGGAATGGCATGCAGCTGCACAGTCGTGTTCTGTATGATGTCCTCACGGCTGTCAAAATGGCAGCCTTTTAGCGGTGTCTTCAATCTCGGGAACAGCCAGAAATCATAAGGAGGCATGTCAGGAGAGTAGGGAGCCTGGCGAACCTGCGGAATGCCGTGCTTGGCCAGGAAACCCTAGATCAGGTGTGATGAATGAGCTGGGGCGTTGTCATGATGCAGCTGCCAGTTGCGTGCATCCCACAACTCTGGTCTCTTGTGCCGAACTGCATCACGAAGGNGGCCAGGAAAAAAGTTCTGTATCTGGGTGGTTACAATACCTAATCGCCTTCAAAGTAGGACCCTTGTGACTCCACACACTTAGCGCAGCAGTCCTTCCATCGCTGGAAGCAATTCTGGAAGGCTTCTTTTGGAATGGCATGCAGCTGCACAGTCGTGTTCTGTATGATGTCCTCACGGCTGTCAAAATGGCAGCCTTTTAGCGGTGTCTTCAATCTCGGGAACAGCCAGAAATCATAAGGAGGCATGTCAGGAGAGTAGGGAGCCTGGCGAACCTGCGGAATGCCGTGCTTGGCCAGGAAACCCTAGATCAGGTGTGATGAATGAGCTGGGGCGTTGTCATGATGCAGCTGCCAGTTGCGTGCATCCCACAACTCTGGTCTCTTGTGCCGAACTGCATCACGAAGGTGGTGGAGGACTTCTTGGTAGTACTCCTTATTGACAGTCTGGCCTAGTGGTGCATACTCATGATGCACCACGCCCCGGTAATCGAAAAAAAGAGTCAGTATCACCTTCACATTGCTCCGAACCTGTCGTGCTCTTTTGGGCCTCGGGGATGTTGGATGCTTCCATTGTGATGCCTGGACCTTGGTTTCCGGGTCATATCCGTACATCCACAACTCGTCACCAGTGATCGCAGTCTTCAGGAACTCAGGATCCCTGTTGGTGCACTCCAGCATGTCCTGCGCGACCTCAAGGTGGAGTTGTTGCTGCTCCGGCGAAAGCAGCTTGGGCACAAATTTTGTCACCACTCTTCGCATCCCCAAATCCTCAGTTAAAATTGTGTTTGTGGAACCTCTGCTGATCCTAACCTCATCAGCAACTTCACGGATGGCCAAATGGCAGTCCTCTGTGATCAGTGTCCGCACTTTGTCAATGACATCAGCATTGACGGTCTCCCAGAACGCTGCTCACTGTCCGCCGACATACGGCTACGTTTAAAGCGGTTGAACCACTCTTTAATTTCAGTGACCCCCCCATTGCATCATCGCCGAAAGTCTGCTGAATTTTGCGAATTGTTTCCACTTGGGTAACCCCCAGTTTCTGACAAAACTTAATGCAGTATCACTGCTCCAAGCGTTCTGTCACCTTGAGCAAAACGAGAATGCGACAGAACACGTGTTACACCACTTCGCTATCTGGCACCCACAGACGCATCCGGCAGTGTTTCGAGTCAGCAAAAAATCACGCATGTGCATGAAAGTCCCTTCTACCACTACACTCAGTTTCCCCACCCCTTTGGCCATTACTTACAGCAGAAAAGTCGGATACTTTTTGGACATACAGTATATTGTGGTTTCAACTTTGCATAGTATTTAATATGGAAGAGATAACTAACAAAGAGACCTGCTCTTGCATTTTCAAGTGGCATTAGTCTAGTAATTCAAGAAGAGTGACTGTAATTATTGTTCTTGTTATTTAAGGTTTATCTGACTTATTTCAATTGAATTTGTCAAATATTTCAAATAATGTTCTGTAAAATTATAACCTTAAAGGGAAATAAAACAACACTTGCTACTAGTAGGTTAATGCTTCCACTGTTACAAAATATGTACAATAATATTACTGATATTATTTCTTCACTTCAGTCATTGTGTTTAAAGTACCATTAATTGGCCTCTTGAAATAATCTGAAATGGATGGGTAGACCATACAAAGGGAACTAACTGCACTTCTCAACGCAAGAATACATTCCAACTTTGTGTTAGGGCCCTGAGAGGGAGTGCATATTGTTGTCAGAAGTAAGGTAGAGCAAGCAGAGACCTGAATTCATTCGCAGGCTAATCCATGTGAGATTTGCAGTTACACTGCGGAAGGTTTTTCTCCAAGCACTTCAGGTTTCCCCTCTGTGTTACCATTCTCTCAATGCTATGTACTTTTCTATCATCTGAGGTAGGTGTAATAGAATAATTTGGGCCTACATGAATAAGAGACTTGAGTTCACCTTATTGCTAAATAACATGAAGTAAGAAAGACCATGTATGCAACCACCACAATGTGAAAGGGTATAGGAGATGTGGCAGTAAGGTCTATATTGTTTATGTAGGAGAAGGTAGCTCTGTGTATTCTGCATAAGCAGCTGCATGTGCCCCAGAATCATTTTGGATATTTTGTTGTAGAAAACAATGTCGCTGTCTTCTGGAAAATGAACCCTAATCATCCATCCCATAATCAGCACTACACTTCACAGATTATGTATGCCAGTGAAGTGGAATAGACATGTGAATAATTAACATAATCCAAGTTTCAGGTGTGATTAAGGGGCAATAGTGATTGTTGAATATAAAAATTTGGAAACATGCACAGAGCATCTGAATTCTCCAGTTATCTTGAAAATTGTAAGACTTATGGAAGAAGTTTATTGAACATGGAGTATGTGTTTCATATTTGTTCCAAGATTTTGTTCACACCTTTTTTTGTAGTGATAAATATTAAGGAAATTATCTTAATATTGTGCGTCCTGTTGTGTGTCATTAATAAGATATACAAAAGTATATAAAGTATGCAGTCTACACACAAGTATTCTGTATTTAAAAAATAAAGAAGACACTACTGTATCAACATTTGTTTTTATTATGTTTTTACAGATGCAACATGTTTCAACCCTTATACCGGGTCATCGTCAGGCATACAATGTTCCAGTATGAGCTGATGAATTGAAATTAATGAAATGCATGAATTCATGTATTAATTTTAGGTCAAAATGTTTAAAACTGAAAATCCTTAGATAATAAAAATATCAAATTAAGATTAAAGATTAAGACATGAAAGTTAAAATTCTGTTTTTTGTGGCATGATACGCGGGCACCCCTCGCTATAGTTGCTTCTACCGGCATAAAAACCAGGTCAACACGTAGCGGTTGCAGAGTCTTACCACAAAAAAAAAAACAGAATTTTAACTTTCATGTCTTAATCTTTAGTTTTAATTTTAATCTTTATATCTTTAATTTTAAATTTGTATTATCTAAGGATTTTCAGTTTTAAAAATGTTGACCTAAAATGAATACGTGTATTTATGCATTTCAGTAATTTCAAGACACAATAAGGATTCTTATTTAAAGAATTAGATGATTTATTAATTGCAGTTCATCAGCTCATACTGGCACATTGTATGCCTGATGATGACCTGATATAAGGGACAAAACATGTTGCGTCTGTAAAAACATAATAAAAGCAAATGTTGATACAGTAGTGTCTTCTTTGTTTTTTAAATACAGAATATCATTGTGTAGATGGCATACCTTATATAGTTTTGTATATCTTATTAAGGAAATTATATCCAAGTTGTGTACAGAAAAGCTTGTACGTCATCACCTAAAGTTGTCTTAAAAATTATTTTACTTAAATGAAAACTGGAATGGCTGTACAATTATTTACAATATTTCTGAGTATTAGATTTCATGAAAATCTGTCCTGCCATCCTGAAGTGGCTTCATGCATACAGATGGACAGACTGACTTATTTAAAGGACACTCACTGGGGTCGTGAATGCACTTACAAGGGTGCAGAGATAAGTTGAAACCAGATAATTAACTCACAATAACTAGGAGTACACTGTATCACACATCTATCATTGCACAGCTTTCAAGGATTGATGTTCAGTAACTTCTGTTATAACAGTACTGTTATGTTCCAGGATGCTGTCTTGGAAGAACTGCGTTTGTATGATTCAAACCTTCAAACACCATACCACTATGGGTTTAATTTTAGAGGAAATGCTTTGAATTATTGGTGGCCAGGTTCTGCAACTGCTAGAGAAGTCTTTGATGTAGGTAACAATTTCCAGAATTATAATTACTGAGGATATGGTGTTCTGTGAGATTAGAGGTTCTCATCTCAGCAACTATGAAGATTATTGTCTTCTGTGGTGTGATGTCATTAAATCATGACCATACCCTGAAAAAGGAGGCAGCATGCTGCTCTGAAATATTAGACTATGTGGTGTCACATCCCACAAGAAAGTAATCTTGAAGGTGTATTGTTTTGTAAGTTTGAGAATAAGATTTGTGCCTGAGAATCAAATCCATTTCTCACAAGTCTTCATTTCATGTCCTCAGTGTAATACATATGAACATCTGTCAACATGAATATTGGTTGCTGTTCACAGTTCAAAAATTGGAATGTTGAAAATGAAATTTCATGTACTGAGCCACAGTTCCATGACATCAGAGCTTAGTTACTGTTTTCCACTCTTATTAAAACAAGTTTCAGAAATGTGCAATGGCTGTGTGGCTAATTGCCACACTGTCATATTTCATACATTTGTTCTGTTTATTAATACAGTGTGTTTTGGCCATATGTGGCCACCTTCAGCTATATTATGTCATACGTTGTTCCACTTTTTTGTCCCTGTATCCAGTGTAGCAATAATTAAAATTTAAATTGAAAGTTGGAAGATTTTGAGGTTAAAATTAATCTGAATTTGAATTTATTTACATTCAGTAAATCCAAATACAGGTTGACACCACAGGATATGGAACAAGGCAAGTACAAATACATAATATCTGTACAGTAATAGTCTTGCTTGAAAAGTTAATAAGATTATAATTCAGTATTTTGAATTGTTTCATTTTTGGTCCGTTACACTATCAATCACAAAGTCAATAGAAAGTCCGTCGAGTGTAACAATTTGTAGGTCACTTCTTTATCACTTCTGCCTTACATGTTTCGGTTTAATACAACCATCATCAGAGGCACATAGTACAATCATGAAAACACTGTCGTTGTTTAAGATGTACACAGTTATGTTTGCTGCGTGGACGCTGCTACAATATGTCGATGTGTAAAAGCACAACACTTGCTAGGATTGTTGAATGCACTATCAATTCTCACATTCCATCCAAAACTGCCCTCAAGTTAAAACGCCAATGTTAAAATATGTAAAAATTTAAAACATTTGATGTAAAATGTTAAGCTCCTCCTTGTTAATTCATCCCGAAGATGGGAGATGTCAGCTTGAGGTTGTATGGCTTATGGTTAGATGTTTCCTATGTGCTGTGTGTTGTGTACACACATATTAGAAGCAGCACAGTGTATAATGCAGTTATAATTTGACGAAAACATGTTATATCTGTACATTTGGGACATCAACTACTGAAATTTCTGTGTGGTACTCTATTTGTCATACTCATCTCCTGACAAACCTTCTAAGTAATTTCTTTATTTATTTATTTATTTTTTTTCATTTTGCTTTTGTCAGTAATTTAACCACGCTGTTGGTAGATAGAATGTATAGCACTGGATGGTAGGATAATAGATGGATAATGTACTGGGTATGATTTGGAAGGAAGCAGTTGTGGCCTACATGAGTTGAAGTTGCAGAAGTGGGTTATTATGAAAATGTAGACTGAAGATGTGTTAATTCAAAATTTTGAGTAGAAAAGACATGATTAAATCTAAATTCCACAAATGAAATTTGTAGTAAGGGTTCAAATTTGAAGTAATATGAAAGTTTGTGCTTCCGCACTAATGAGGTTAACCTTCCTTTAAATTGTAATGGAATTTCTTAGTTTGAAAGAGGGAATGTGTCCATCTTTCAGCCTTTACAAATCAATTAATTAATGTAGATTGAAATTTTATAAGTTGATGGATACCTATAAATAGTTACTCAGTATTTTATATGTTCTGCTTTATACTCTGATTTCAGTTGGAGCACAGTGCAGATGTTCCTGCATAGCAAGTAATGTAATTATTTGACTTGTTTCAGAGCTCTGGTGCAGTAATATTAACTAATGGTTTAGTGCATGAACATTTTCCTTGGGGTAAGTACAAACTGACATCATTATCATCATCATCATCATCATAAGTTCATTCACTAGTACTGGCTTCATGAACTGTGAAGTGTTAAGCAAGTTATGATTTATTTATTTATTTATTTATTTCCATTGTAAAATTCCGTGGATCCAATCTAGGCTACAAATACGCCTGATGGATATAGAACATTGTGGAGCAATGAAATATGTTAAATGTGACCCCTTGAGGTCCATTTATTTTAACCATTTCACTTGGGTGCATATCAAAGCTTACTTCATGTGCAAAAGCAGTATTTTTCGGCATTTAATTATTATTCAAGCAAGAACATAAATTTGATATTTTTAACTGAAATAACTGCAGTACTCGTTAATTTGAATAAAATTTGATTCATCGGTTTCAGCCTGCCATCACTTCATATAGTTTAGTATACTGAGACCATGAGAAGAAGTCTTATAGACATTTCTCCTCTCTCTCTCTCTCTCTCTCTCTCTCTCTCCCACACTGTTGCACTTCTCTGACTCCAGCTTGTTTGCTAATATTCCCATGTAGTTGTCTAGCCATGCTGCTTGTGATTACAACTTTGAACTTCATTAGTGACACACTTGGGCTCTTTGGCACAAGCCAGATGGGGTAGAAGTGATAGACAGACAGTAGAAGCTTGAACAACTATCAACCCCAGTGTCCATAGGACTTCTTGCTGTGGCCTCAGTATGGTTGATTAATTTATATCATGTACTTCTCTTCTCTAGATGTGCTAAAAGATACATTTGAAAATTAAATGTATTTACTTGGTCAATAACCATCTTTAATTTATACTGGTATCTTGCTTCAAAATTCCTTGATGTTTTCTTTGAATAAATTTAAGTATTATATGATTTTATGAAATGATCTGAATAATGCAGTGATCTCAGAAAGTCATTCTGTTTTTAAAAAGAATGAACTTCTCATCAAAATATATATTTTTTAAAATAATGTATTATATCAGTGTCCTACACTCTATCTGTTCATCAGCTCCCATTATGTGATAGTATACAGTGGTTAAATATGCTGTTCAGATAAAAACAGTAGTTATCTTTCCCTCAACTTTGAGAAAGCCTATGATTCAGTTAGGAGGGAAGTATTGTACAATATTCTGATAGAGTTTGGGATACCCATGAAACTAGTTAGATTGATTAATATGTGTTTAAATGAAACATATAGTAAAGTCCGTGTAGGTAAACATTTGTCTGATAAATTTCCTATTCAGAATGGACTAAAACAAGGAGATGCTTTATCACCACTTCTTTTCAACTTTGCTTTAGAATATGCCATTAGGAAGGTCTAAGAAAACCAGATGGGACTGAAATTAAACAGGACACATCAGTTGTTGGTCTATGCCGAAGATGTGAATCTATTGGGTGATAATATAGATACCATAAAGAAAAACACACAAACTTTAATTGACACAAATAAGGATGTTGGTCTAGAAGTAAACCCAGAGAAAACTCAGTATAGGAAACAGATGTTTTGAAAACATGGCACAGTTCAGATATTTGTGAATGACAATAACAAAACCTGATTCAGGAGGAAATTAAGAGGAGTTTGAACTCAGGCAATGCTTGCTACCATTCAGTTCAGAACCTTTTGTCTTCTTGTCTGCTGTCCAAAAACATAAAAATTAGAATAAACAAAAACATAATTTTGCCTGTGGGTCTGTGTGGGTGTGAAACTTTGTCTCTGACATTAAGGGAAGAACATAGACTGAGGGTGTTTGAGAACAGGGCGTTGAGGAGAATATTTGGACCAAAGAGAGATGAAGTGAAAGGAGGTTGGAGAAAACTTCATAATAAGGAGCTTCATAACTTATACTCTTCTCCAAGTTTAATTAGAATGATCAAGTCAAGGAGGTGGGCAGGGAATGTAGCACGAATGGGGGAGACGAAGAATGCATATGGCATATTGGTGGGAAAGCCAGAAGGAAAGAGACCATTGGGAAGACCAAGGCATAGGTGGGTGGACAATATTAAAATGGATCTCAGAGGAATGGGATGGTATGGATTGGATTGATCTGGCTCAGGATAGGACCAATGGAGGGCTCTTGTGAACATGGTAATGAACCTTTGGGTTCCATAAAATGCTGGGAAATTCTTGAGTAACTGCAGATTTGGCAGCTCCTCAAGAAGGGCTCAGCTCCATTATTATGTAAGTTGTCTTTCCCTCAGTCTAGGCTCTTGCATTGTGTGGCATAGCATGTCTGGAGTTCAGAGCATAAGCAGAACAGTCTTGCTACAGTTTGAAGCTGTTTTTATAACAATCTGATGCAAAATATAATGAATTTTTAGTGAAATGAATCGTTTATATGTGTTTCAATTTAAACTGAAAGATTGTGATTATAAGACATAGGTACATACAGGGAAACCTGGAAGATTGCACAGAATAAATAAAAATAATTGTTATATTTTAGCGTCCTGTTGCACTGATTTATGTCCATGATTTATTCTGACCATCTTACAGTGCATACATTTATTCACCTTACTCTTCTCTCTCGCATTACTTGTTTCGGCACTAAAGTGCCATCTTCAGGTGCTTTTCGATGTACGTTGAACTACTGCATTGCATGCCCTGTTGTCTTTATACTAAAATAACTAAAATATATATTCATCATACATACGATGGGGTACCCAAAAGAAACCGAACTAATTTTTTTGTGGGCAGAGCTTTTGTAGTACCGCGTTTTGCCGCTATGAGCGCATAGAGCTAACATTCGTGAGTTGATAANGGGAGTGACTTGGAGCTCAATTCAGCGAATTTTGACAGAAGATTTGGGAATGAAAAGGGTGGCTGCGAAATTTGTGCCACGACTGCTGACTGCTGAACAAAAACAAGGTCGCGTGGAAGCATGCTGTGCTTTGAAAGAAGAGTCCCAAAATGATCAAAACTTTTTTTCAGCGTTTTGCTGATGTTGCTGAGGTGAAGGAAAAAAACGACGGAGGCGCTGTCAAGCATATCAAAAGATGAATTTAGACAATGTTTTGAAAAATGGAATAAAAGACTATACAAGTGTATTAGTGTAAGTGGAGAGTACACTGAACGGGATTGAAGGTTTGTGCTTAAAATTTGATTAAATAAGTTTAAAAAAAATAAGTTCGGTTTCTTTTGGGTACCCCCTCATATATTGCTAAATTTTAAATATTAAAAATGTTAAAACTGTTCAGGATTTGTCATCCTTATGTCGTATTTCAGTATGCGAGTCACGCCTATCTTCTTCTGTCGGAGTATTCTTCCTACTTGCATGTGTATCTGTAACGTGAAATTGTTATTCATTAATACCGTGTTCTGAATTTTATTTGTTATGTGTGGTATTATAATGTTTAATACTCACCGTGCTTTGTGTTGTGTCTTACTCCTGTGACTGTAGATTTAGCAATATATATGACGAATATATATTTTAGTTATTTTAGTATGAAGACAACAGGGCATGCAATGCAGTAGTTTGACGTACATCGAAAAGCACCTGAAGATGGCACTTTAGTGCCGAAACATGTAGTGCAGGAGGGAAGAGTAAGGTGAATAAATGTATGCACTGTAAGACAGACACAGTAAATCATGGACAAAAGTAATTGTATATTTGCATACAGGATTAATTAAAATCATATTAGTTTTAAAAACTAGTTTTTATACTAGGAACGTATACAGAAATAGTAACATTACTACAACTAGTATTTTGGTGGGATGTAATAAGTAACTTTGGGCTGTGGATTGCATGATGGTCTTTTGGATAAACTTCAGGAATTGGAACATTCACTTGGGCATCCGTTGAACAATATACAGTAAACTCTCAGTTATCTTGAATGTACAGCGAATAAGGTGTGCCAGTTACATGTACCTGCAGGTTGCATGTGAAAAGCTCTTACAGAAGTCAAAGCAACAAATTTTCACTTATGCTCTTGTGTGGGAGTCTTCCTGTGCAATACAGTGGACAGGTTCAACCAGCCTCTACTGTAACGGCACTTGCATGAGGAAGAACAATGTACAGCATACACCATCGTCAGAATCCTTTCAAGTCTATCAACAACAATGATGACATTCAGATGTACATAATTTGTACTACCTATATTTATACAAGACTATATTAAAGTAGTAGGCCATTTATGTTTTTCTGTACCTTTCTGTAGCAATAATGAAGCATATAGGCAGCATGAGTTAATTAAATCTGCACTGTAGATGAGTTCCTCCCACTGTATGACAGATTCACACAGTCTCTAAAGACCTCTTCATTATTCATTATATAAATATTAGACTGGACTTCATCTGTTGTCTTGGGTATATTTAAAAATAACTGTACCTGAAATGATGGACAATGTCCAACATAGTATTTACTCAGTTTCCAAACACCCCCCTCCCCACCCAATACATTAAAACTGAAGATGGCAGTCACATTGTTTACTGAAATGGTGGGAAGTGTTCAACATTCTGCATGGGGTACTCCCAAAAGGTGAAGTCATACATACAGACTCTCACATTCATGATGATGGTGGTGATTGAGAATGAACCCAGGACCATATGGATATTAGGTTAGACACTAATAACTACATCACTGAGATGACTGAAGAAAGGTTGTTATGATTCTATTTGTGTTACTCATGGAATTGATCCCAACCAAGTAATCTTAAAGTAAAACTAAAAATGTATCATTTCAATGGTAAGCAGTCATCTGAAGACAGGAGCAGACCCAACTCTGGAAGTGTTGTGCGTGTCAGATATACCTCTGACAATGTACAATATCTGACATAATCATATCAGTATAACCTATCTTCCCCATCAAGTGAATGTTCTATTTCCTGTAAAAATGTAACCAACTGCTAAATATTATTAACGATATATTAACATGAATGTGCTGTACTCAAAAATAATTCTGTGATAAGCTCAACTATGAATATTACTGTCTTCTGAAATGCGATGCCATGGAGACTTGTGAAAGGTGCAGGCAGTGGGCCCTGCCCTTACCAGACTGCATGACATCACACCC